ATAATGTGGTTTATAATCGGTTTTGGAAATGTATGCTTACGACTTTCAGGTGGCCTAACCCTTCGAAATCTGGTTCGTTGTTTCCAAACGCTTGAGAAATCTCGTCTCTTGCTTTGTTTTGCCAGTCTTGATGTTGGCTTAGAGCAACGAGTGTCCAAACAAACAATGAAGAAGTCACATTTTGACCAGCTAGATAGAAAGCCTTACAGTCATCTATCAGATCGTCGATACTCAGCCCGGAATCAGGTCCTTGTTCGTTCATCAGTTTTGTATTCGAAGCCAACATGGAACACAACAAGTCGCTGTTTTTGTCGCTACCTCTTCCGCTTTTGATCTCCTTTTCTTTTGTCTCAATCATAGCTTTAAACATAGCTCTCATGTCCCTTTCGGTTTCTCTCAATCTCTTGTTGAACTTTGTTGGTAAGAATCTGCCAATTTACAAATCCAAAAACATGAAAACTTGAATCAACAAAACTAGCTTTCATGCTTCCAAACTCGGTCGATAGAAAAAAACCCCGGTTTTTCTTACTTTGAGCCGGGAATGTAGACGGATCGAATAGCTTGGAGACCGAGATCGATCTGTTCTTGTTGGATTTCGAAGATTTTGATTCCATCAATGTAGAAATCACCAAAAGAAGCACGAGCAAGCATGTTTCTGGTTAAGTCATGACAGTAAGTCCATGAATCAAGTTCAACTGTTCCTTTTGCAGAAGCTAATTTCTCCCATTCTTCTAACATCTCTTTGCAACTCGAGTTGAATGCTGGTAGTATGCTCTGTTCATTTTTAGGAAAAAAAATATATTCAATGTTATTTCGTTACAAAAATCAAAATCAAACTCGAACAAAAAATTTTTTCACATAAATGGGTCTTTAAAAAAAAAAACTTCATATTTATATACTGATTTATAATGATTTATTTACTGGTATTGTTTTGTGTTAAAGATAATGAAATGCTCTGTATATGTGACTTTGTTTCACTGGTAATGAAATAAAAATTAGCCAAAAAAAAAAAGTTGATATATAAGAAATTCTAGTTTGAAATATGATTTCATTTTTTTTTTAACGTGTCTTTTTGGATTTTTCTGTTACTTCGCTTTAGACTTTTATAGTTGGTGGCGTGACGTGTGGCCCTATAGTACTTTGTGGACTTTTTTTCTCTGTTTCTTCTTTTTCTATTAAATATATATTTTAAAATTATATTTCCCGTGTAGAGTTAATATTTTTGTCTGAGAAATTATGGAGTATATTATATTTGTTTATTGTAAAAAATAATTAAATTTTTATCTTTAGTGAATATATGTTTTTTTTATTAATGTTTAAATTCTCTCATCTAACAAGCAAGTAAAGACGTTACTCATCTTTCTTTTCGAAAAAAGTAAAAAGAGAATGAAACTGATCAAAATCTAAAGAATAAGACGAAAATGACGTCCATAAAGTTCACACTATGTCAGAGTGAGAATTTAATTATAAAAACAAAAATGACAAGAAAATAGTTATGAGAGTCAAAATGAGCAGTGTATACCTTCAAATTGTCATTCAATAATTTACCAAAAAAAAAAGGGTTAAAAAAACAGCAATACCTTCAAATTGTCGATACGAAAAGCAGGATTAAGAATGCTTCGATGTTTGGACCATTTAGGACCTTCATGATTGAGAAGACCACTGAGAAAAACATGATTATGTGACCCAATCTTTGGTTTTGGAAAGAGTTCGTGTCTTGACATTATCTCTCGTAGTGTCTCTGGATCCATTACTATCACGTTCGGGTACGGTCCGTACCATGTGAAACACTTCTTCCCTATTAAAACAAATGTTAATTCCTACCATTTGTTAATTTTAAAGGAGTTTAACTAATCTACATACGAAACAAACACACATATAAAACAATTATATATTTGACAGAATAATTTGATATGATCCGTTCCAAGAGTGTTTCTTAATAATATACAAGACTAGATTTAGAATTATAACCAGAAGACATATAATCAGATTTAGATCTTATATATATTCTTATGCAAATGTTTACTCTGAATCTCTCTGTTCATATAACAACCTTGAAGTTGAAAATAATAAAATTTCAAGATGAAGAAGTTGACTAACTCCTAACCAAAACTATACAAAAAAATTATGAATCTAACACAAGACCAATACTGTTAGGTTCTTATTTTGAATTCACATTTTCGTCAAACAAACATAAAAAAAAAACCCTAAAAAAGACTTGAGTTTGATGGATCATACCATGATTAAGAACAGTGTGATGAAGAAAAGGCATCATGCGAGGGAGAAAATCTGCGGAGAGAGGAAGAGGAAGAGAGTGAGCAACTTGATCCATCTGATTACTCTCTCTCATATCTCCCATCAAAATTCTATAAGAATTCCCAGAAAATCCTTGTTTCTTCAAATATTTCTCCAGTCTCTTTGGCCTCAACCATACCCAATTCACAGCTCTCCATACCCAATTCAGTATCAAGATCGAAAAACCGATCAAGATCACTTTTCTTACTGTGATTATCATCTCCATCATCTCTTGATCTTGATCTATGG